TGTAAGCTAAGGACCTCTTCAGAGAAATATGCATAATCACACACATGCAAAATTCTTCTTACAACAGCTATTTTATCGTATTGTAAATTGATTACCCTTGAATAAACAACATCTTTAAAAAGCATCTGTTGATAAGTTTGCCTTTTCTAGTAAAAATTAATGTTAAAAAAATACATATTGTATAAGTAAACCTTAATTCCTTTCACAACCGAATTTCAAAGAAAGAGTGATTATATTTAGTTTATTTTTTTAATTTTTTTTAACACTTATTTATTTTTGAGAGACAGAGAGAGACAGAGCAGGAGCAAGGGACGGGCAGAGAGAGAGGGAGACACAGAATCCGAAACAGGCTCCAGGCTCTGAGCCATCAGCACAGAGTCCAACGTGGGGCTTGAACTCACGAACCATGAGATCATGACCTGAGCCAAAGTCAGATGCTTAACCGACTGAACCACCCAGGAGCCCCCGATTATATTTACTTTAAATGAAAGTTGAAATTGTGTTAGGATCTTTGGCAAGTCACTGTGCATAGCATTATTGATATAAAATTTCTTCCCATTATTTGATTTTTTTAAATTTTAATTTTATTTTTTTTCAGTATATGAAATTTATTGTCAAAATGGTTTCCATCCATTATTTGATTTTTAATGAAAATAATGCTCCTGTAATATAAGCAGTAAAGTTGGATGAATACCTATTAGTATGTATTAGTAAAGTAAGCAGTAGATAACATTAAACTGCCTCTGATGTGCTTCCATTATTTTGTGAGGATTTTGCCATCCTCACTTTACAATTGACAAGATGGAGACTTAGATTAATAACTTGCAAGTGTCCATACAGTGTTCATTTACAGATTCTGGAAAATACCAGAACCTGCACGTTTTGGGGGGGGGTATTTTTTTGAGGAAGATAAAAATGACTTCACTGTCTATTGTATGCCTAGAACTCTGCTGGGTGCTTCACATACATTATTTCAGGCTCAAGGTAATCAGTATTTTCACTATCATGCATATATGAAAAATGAGCCTTTCACAACCAGAGACTTGCCCTACATCACAGCTGGTAAATCAGAGAGCCGGGACCTGGCTTGGGAGAGACAGTCCTCCTTGGACGACTTGCTGGGTATGTGCCAAGACTGCAGGCCCTGACTATTCTTTTACCCGAGCCATTTCTCAGGGTTGTCCATACAGCTGCTAATTTTGAGAGATGAGACCATGTTGTGCCTTTAGACAAAGAGAAGGCTTGCTTCCAGCTTGCTATAAAGCCAGTGGATTGCCCAAACTCAGTGTGCCACAGCCGTGTCATGGACACAGAGTGTGCGTGATACCCATCAGTGCCTGGTTCATCACCCCAGTGAAATTTGAGGGCAACGGAGCAGTTAGGCAAATTCGCTGATGCTTGTGTTACTTGCTTACAGTGAGTAATACATTCGTTTGTCTCTGACTCAGATTCTTGCGTCTTCTGTCAGCATCCATAAAATAAGTGAAAGGCTAATTTTATAAGTAGAGTAAAACCAAATCCCAACTTTGACAATCTAAGAAAGGGTCATGTTTCTGGCCCCAAGGGCCTCACTTGAAAAAGTACTTCATTTAAAAATTATCAATATAATTCATGGATATCATTTAAAAAGTTCAAAGAATATAGAAAGCATAAAAAAATCAGTTATATTTTTGTCCCACCCATCTTACCCCTGGTTCAGTTCTAGCTTCTCAGAGGCAGCCTTTCTTTAGATACTCCACTAAGATTTATAGTCATATATCCAAATTGCTATTATACTATGCTTGGTTTTTAAATTTGTAAAATTATCCATTTCCTATAAGGAAAAAAAATTCTTTTATACCACACTCCACGCACTTAACTCTCCCATAATACTCAAAATTTAGTTACATAAATATTTATGGTTAAATTAATATTCAGTGCTTACGTGCTATGAACATGTAATTAGGTTCATGGTTACGTGTGGTAGTTTGCTCTAACTCTTGAGTAGCATGTTGTTTTCCTTAGTATTAATAATCGTCTCATCTTAATAGTCAACAAATTCCCTATCAGAGCTACTAATTCAACACACTTTCTATCAGAGCAACGAAGTCCCTCTCAATGGTTAATATAGCAGCTAATCTATCAATTCCTTTTTTTCATGGGAACCTCTATTTTCTTCCATTCTTTCATTCTAATCAGATAGTAATCCTCTGTATCGATGTTCTGATTTTCATATTCTTTCTTCTCTACTTCTGTATATCTTGATATAACTTCTTAGGAGATTTCTTCACTTCATCTTCCAAATGCTCTACTGATTCTTTTCACCAAAGTGAAAACTTTGGTTTACTATTTGCTCCTGTTATGCTCTGAATGACTCCTTTTATTCCTGTCCTAGAAGGATCTTACTTCATGCATGCAATTGTCTAATCTACCTAAAGATGATTTTTTTTAATGGTCTCTTCTGCTCTCTTCATTTTCTCTTGAGTCAATCCTTTTTCTTTAACTTTCTCCTCTTTTCTCTTTATTTTTCTCTGTATGTTTCTTCTAGCCTCTGCTTCTTTTTTTTAATTTTAGATTATTGTTAATATTATAGAATGGTCTCCTTTGTTTTTATTTAAGAATGAGGCAATAAAAACTATTTGGAACTCAGTTAGTAGTGGATGGTTCATTGAGTAATGGTCTCAACTGTAGGATAAAACATGGCTGCACAGATTTTTCCTTTGTGGTTCTCCAATTGTCAGCATCTATAGATCTTTTTCCAGAGGTGTATTCTTCTGACTACTACTACTCAATGAAAGGAGTTTAGAACTGGCTTTCAGCATTTTAGGGAGAACAAGAGTTTCACCATACAGTGTGCAAGCCTCATGTAATCTCTATTTTTTTTAGTACAATGACACATGATAGATGCCACCCATGCCTGAAGTCCCTACTCCTGAAGCTCTTGGCACAACCTCTCCAAGATTTTTTTTTTCTGTCCTGCTTTCTGCCCACTTCAGAAGGCAAAAAGGCAATTTCTACTCTGAAGGACAAGTGCAAGAAGATCAGGAATAGAAATCTCAGCCTTTTGGGGCGCCTGGGTAGCTCAGTTGGTTAAGTGTCCGACTTTGGCTCAGGTCATGATCTCACTGTATGTCAGTTCAAACCCTGCATTGGGCTCTGTGCTGACAGCTCAGAGCCTGGAGCCTGCTTCAGATCTTGTGTCTCCCTCTCTCTCTGCCCCTCCCCTGCTCATACTCTGTCTCTGTCTTTCAAAAATAAATAAACATTAAAATAATTTTCTGAAAGCGAAATCTCAGTCTTCTTTCTACAAAGTTTAAATCAATTGTTCTCCTTTCATTTCTTTTCTAGCTCTTACTTTCTGAAGTCCGAGCTACCTTACATTTCTGAAAGTGTGAGGATATTATTTTCTTCCTTTTGGGCTCCCCCTGTTAGCTTAGGTTTCAGCTCTGTTAAGTCAGTTTTCACAAGTGCATTCATTTTGAAGCTTCCTAAAATATGTCATCATCGCTCATCTGTCACTGTCTTCTTTCCTGTTACTTTCATCCTCCTGTGTGTTAATGCCACTTTTACTCCTTATTCAGTTTATTTTTTGTTTTAGTAGGAAGTACAGATAAATGGATCTGTTCATTTATGGATAAATTCAATAAGCCAGGTCTGCCAGAACATTCTTTAAACAAGCAGGAAAGCCAAATCTGTCCTGAAACATCGCAGATGTTTCATTTGTAAATTGAGTGACAAATAGCACAACTCTTGTTAATAAAGAAACTGTTAGCCATTTGAAGATTTTAAAGTCCTGTGAGATTTCTAAAAACAACTCATTAAAAGTGAAGTTAGTCTGTTTATGTGAGCCAGAGTATAACAAACAAAAACTAGGAGCCTGATAGACATCATTTGTTTCATCTGAACTCATACTGAAAGACAAAAGATGCTACTCAGAATCATTTCCTAACTTTCCCCAAAATATTACAAGAATGTAAGCAATCTAGGGGTGCCTGGGTGGCTCGGTCAGTTAAGCATTTGATTTCGGCTCAGGTCATGATCTCATGGTTCATGGGTTCGAGCCCCACATCAGGCTGTGTGCTGACAGCTCAGAGCCTGGAGCCCACTTCAGATTCTGTGTCTCCCTCTCTCTCTGCCCCTCCCCTGCTCGTGCTCTGTCTCTCAAAAATAAATAAACATTAAAAAAGTTTTAAAAATTTAAAAAATGAATGCAAGCAATCTGTAATGAATTGTCCATATCCAACAAGAATTGATATAAACAATGAAATGTCCATATATAAACTAAATAAAGAAAATAATTATGGACGTTTTAAGATAATCATTTATTTTAGAATATTCTTCAGGTGTGACACAAATCACCACATATATCCTTTCAAGTTGTTATTTATTGAATTTACACTTATTTGATATTTAATAGACAAAGTTGAATGAGCTCCAAAGTTCAGTAGTCAAGAAATTTTAATATTTGTGTTTAAGTTTTGGTAATAATTATTGTTATGCTTTGGTATTCGCTTTTAAAAGCGACATAGTTTTCTTAGAAATGCATAATAAATAAAATGTAAATAAGATCTTTTCTAAAGGATGAACAGAGAAGCCCAAGGATATTAAAACAAAAATACAAATACCTGACAGATAATTTATGGAAAATGAATCCCAAATGAGCAAATCCAAATATTCCTTCACTTATAAATATTTAAAGGAAGTATACATTCATAAAAATATAATCACAATGTATGAATCATCTACCATTCAATTTACCTTTAAACTACCCACCAATTTGGCTGATATTAAGAGGCTGTTAAAAATATAGATTTTTCAAGAATTATACAGTTCCTAGATCTGGAACTTGGGTCTATTATTGGTGATTAGACACATTTGGGAAATGGTATAATAGAGGAACTCAAGCAGAACAATGGTAGCCCTTACTCAAAAATCTCAAAACATTCATAAAAAGAAAAAAAAAGAAAGAAACAATAGCACTGCATTTCACTGAAATCAAGTATTTTAAATCTATGACTCACCTTATTGAGTAAAGAACATTTCCATTCTTGAAAATTCTTAACAATTTATTGTCTGTAGTAACTTCATGAAAGTTGGCACCTTTTTCATTGGCAAAGAACAGATCAGGTTTCCAAATGGAGTCCAACATGGAAGGATCTAGGTCTAAAGAATCATCAGGGTATTCACTATATGCAAGGCGAGGATCGTTCCACTTCTGACGAAGGAAGATATTGACTCTGTAATCCTATGACAGAAGAAAGAAAGGGGGAAAAAAACCTGCTTTAAAAACTTTAGAATCTTATGTGCTATTCTTTGGATGCTTCTGAATTTTAGCAAAAGCCACTGACCTCCTTGTGAGCTTTCATACCTCACAATCCTCACTCATTACCACTGACAAGAGTTGTTTAAGTTACAAGGCTTTGCCGATGTTTTAGTGATCTAGATGTCTCTAAAGAAAAGGCCACAGAGGAGTACACTTTTATCACTTTTATCATGCCTATATTTTGCCCTCCTATTCAAACTTAACTTGGTTTGTCAGAATAAAATGTTAGGTTGCTATTAGACACTTGAAGTAAAATATTTTCAGCATCACATTTATTTTCTAGAACCATTTCTTTTCGTAAATATCCAATAGCATCCAGAATGCATTTAGTGAAATTTTCTTGAAAGCTGTCTTCTAAAAATGACTATATATACTTTTTTACAATGAAGACACATTTCCTCATGTTTAATATAGCAGTGAGTTCCATGAAACAGGTGATTTGGGAAAAATAAAAGGTGATTTTGAAATAAGAAGAGAATAATAGAGGAATATTATTGCCGGTAATCCTTTAAGAAGATTTGGCTGAAGAGTTTTCCCAATTAGACTACTCATAGTTAAGTTTTAAAAGGGGAACAGTCAGGGGCACCTGGGTGGTTCAGCGTCCCACTTTGGCTCAGGTCATGATCTCATGGCTCCTCAGTTTGAGCCCTGTGTTGGGCTCTGTGCTGACAGCTCGGAGCCTGGAGCCTGCTTCAGATTTGTGTCTCCCTCTCTCTCTGTCCCTCCTTGGCTCATTCTCTCTCTCTCTCTCTCTCTCTCTCTCTCTCTCTCAAAAATAAACATTAACAAAAAAGGTGGGGGGAAGAGTCAATGACTTCAATCAAATTCTTGCTCACAATTTCTGGACTAATGTATAGAATGACAAAGATTGATAGCCAGTATATTGATATAAGCACCACCTATGACTTTTGAAATGAGCACATAAATTTTAGATTTTTGAAATGAGCAAATAAATTAAACATGTAGATTTCATTATAAGCAGGAGTAAAGTGAACATTTTAGGAAGGTTTTATTTCCATGGAATATAGCCAAGGCTGGAGATATTCAGAAAAACTGAACACCAGTTTTCATCTATTTTTTTATTCTTTGAATACCAAATTACCAGGTATCAGAATATGTAACCAAGCAATCACAAAGAATGTTTCCATAAAATCAGGTCTGGTAGATTGCTTTCTCTCGCAGGGAGGTGAAACTCAGAGCAGTGAATGTTATAAATCTATATGTTCCCCGGGGCACCTGGGTGGCTCAGTTGGTCAGGTGACCAACTTCGGCTCAGGTCATGATCTCGTAGTTTGTGGGTTTGAGCCCCGCGTCGGGCTCTGTGCTGACATCTCAGAGCCTGGAGCGTGCTTCGGATTCTGTGTCTCCCTCTCTCTCTGCCCTTCCCCTGATCCTGCTCTGTCTTTCTCTGTCTCAAAAATAAAGAAGACATTAAAAAAATATTTTTTAAATAAATCTATATGTTCCCTTGATCATTATTTGCACACCGAAACCCTTATCTTCTAACTGCAACTGAGGTTACATACCAGATAATATTTTTTTCTGCTTGCTAGGTACCCCATGTATCTTCCAAAGTGACAATGGAACAGAGTTCACTTTGGCTTTTTACCACAAAGTTCACGATAATGTGGAAATCTCACCAGCCACAGGATATGCAGAACCTATAAATGGGGATACGTGAACAAGCTTCTACCAGCCAAAGACAGGTCACCCTCTTTTCGCCTAGAATTCAGAATGCCAAGGAGCAGAGCTCCATGGTTGGCGGCCAGTTTTTGCATCGCTTTGCTGCTCTGAAGTCTGTGCTTCAGCCCTGACTACCACCAAAGGAATAATTTCCCTCTGTCTTAACCATAGGAGAAGATGAAAGCAACCCCAGTTATAATGATGCCTGCCAGGAAAAATAACTGACAACTAAAGAATTTCCTTGGGACTGATTCTTACAATTATATGCATAATTGAGAATACGCTGCAAATGTTCCTCACTGTGAGGCTAAAATAAAAGTACTTTTTTTTTTTAATGTTTTATTTATTTTTGAGACAGAGAGAGACAGAGCATGAACGGGGGAGGGTCAGAGAGAGAGGGAGACACAGAATCTGAAACGGGCTCCAGGCTGTGAGCGGTCAGCACAGAGCCCGACGCGGGGCTCGAACTCACTAACCTTGAATCATGACCTGAGCCGAAGTCGGATGCTCAACCGACTGAGCCACCCAGGCGCCCCTAAAAGTACTTCTTAACCACAGTGTATACAGTAAGATTTGGTTGACTCTCCTTATCCTATGCTATTGGTTTTGTGATAAGCTTTATAGACACAATCTCAGATCTTCCTGAAACACTTTTTGCTCTAAGACTGAGTTTAAAAAAGACAACAAGTATCCTTCAGTTTCTGTTTCTAAATCACACAGGGCAGAAACCACCTGCCACCTGTCACCAAGGCCAAATGTTATCTTACATCCATTGTGCTCTTTCTGTGAATAACCAGAAATATCTTTGTTTCCTAACATATTTAAGTCTTTGTTTAGGACCAAGGTCTAATGAAAAACTCAAAAATGGCCATCTCTTGATGACCTAGAAACTAAGCTTTTAACAGTTCTCACAGTCTGAGTTTTGACCTGCCTGCAAATGAACATTGTGCTGGGAAGCTTCCCCATTAAACAACCAAATTCAGCATTTTGAAAATAAATATTTAAAGCTGATTCCTCATGGCCAATGTATCCCATTTATACTAGGCAACCATTTATATTATCTGTGAGTCTTGATCACTTGTGAAAATGTGCAAAGGGTAAATAAAATGACATAGTCAAATAATGCCACCTAAGAGAAGTCCTCGTAACTCAATTTGAAATAACTTGCCTATACTAAAAGAGCAAAAATAAAGAAATAAAGACACAGTTTTGCAAAATAGACATAATGGATGTGTATCCAGCACATGCAGAAAAATTTAAAATAGACCCACTAAAGCCAGCTTCAAAGTGTGTAATAATTTTTTTGCTATACATAAAAGAAAGACTGTTTTATTAATGGAAGTTCCTCGGTTCACCTGGGCTATACTTCTATAATGGTGAAAATGTAGAAAGGTTATACGCAAGTAAAAAAAAAAAAAAAAAAAAAAAAAAAAAAAAGGACAATGATAAAAATGAGATAATATATATTGAGAATGAAATAAATATTTGTATCTCACATTTCTAAAATCTAGATATGCACTGAATTCATTCATAAGTCATATAAGGCAACTGAATTGACTTTTATATGGAATCATCAAATTTTAGGACAAAGACATTTAATGATTCTTTTCCCTACAAACCCCTTTTGCAGTAAACCCTCCAGAAGCTAATTTTATTTTTTCATCATTTTTTCATGCTACATAATAAATGAGTGATTTGTAAATATACGCTATACTATAGTAATATATTATTAATATTTTACAGTAACAGTGATGAAATACAGCCATTATTTCATAAATTAGAAGAAACACTAATTTTGACCTTTCAGAAGTCAAAATTTATTATTACTATTATTAGAATAGAATGATACACATTAATAACTTTAATTTTGTAAGAAAATATCTTGTTGACAAAGTTATATACCATGTTTCATTTTGAAAGTGAGTATCCATTCAAATGTACTCAACTTTCATGTGTATGTCACATAGTAAATAACAGGCCCAATATTTTAAATTCTTACACTATAAGGCACAAAAAAATAATAATTCAATTAGGCAAATATTGTAACGTTTTATATACTAGACCCAGAAGTAAATCTTCTTGGGATCAAATCTCAGCTCTCCCAGTGAACAGCTTTCTAATCTTCCTATGTCTTGTTTTTTCCTCCATAAAATAGGGATGGTTACAACAGTACTTCCCCTGAGAGGGGTGCTTTGAACACTGGATTGATCCACACAAGTATGAGGACCACACTTATTAAATATTAGCTTTTCGATCCTCAAAATTAGAATTCATATTAAATAGGAATTTGGTTGTATTTTCGGTTTATAAATTAGTTTTTGAAATAATAGGCATTTGGGACAGATAATTGTAATGTTGAACCTGGTGACTAGTATCTTACGGAAAATTTACAAACTCTTATGATAAGCTTATCATCAACTTTTTGTGTTAACTTTTGCATTTCAACATTTATGTATATTTGTATTTCCTGTCTGTATTCAATTGCCCCTCCTCCCCCTGCCTCTATAATTTGTTTGTGTTATAAAGCCCCTTTCCATAATGTCAAATATAGCTGCTTACATTTCACTCTGTACCTGATGTTATACTAGGTGCTTCATGGATTATCCCTACTATCCTCATCATAAATCTATGAGGTAGGTGTTATTATTTGCCTAGTTTTACAGATGTGGACTGTGGGACAAAGATAAGCTAACTAACTTCAACATGATTACTGAGCTACCAGTTGGCGGAACTGTAATCCAGACCCATACATTCTGGTTTCAGAGCTTTGAAGAATACATTGCCCGCATGATTTAGTGCCAGTCATGACTGCCTTGTATGCACACCAAATGTTTTGTAAATTAATGCAAAGATTCTGGGTTTCTGTGGTTTGTGTTTGCTTGTTTTGTAATAAATTTTGGGGGTTACAGACCAACATACTCACTGACAGGAAATCACAAGTCCTATACCTAAATGTTATCCAATTAAATCTAATAGGTGCCAGGTAGTCATTTCTCCATAATAGGTACCCTGGGGAAAGACCAAATTTAGTAAAAACCACAGCCCAGCGTATCACCGAAAATGACACAGAACACAATACTCATCTTTGGCTGCATAAGGGAGTATAGGATTGCTAGAAACTAACTAAAATGACCAGTTAGAAAAAAAAATAGAGAAAAATAATTATCTAATGTTAATACAAGTTGTCAACTGCTTCTCTTCCCTCTGGTCTATGATTCAGTTAAGTTTTAAGTTCCCTA